TATTGGTTACATTAAGCATATAACAACGGAATTTTTTAACCAAAAGTCAGAGAAAGGAAAAATCACCACAACATCGATTTTCATAATGCATTTATAAATGGAAGTAAAAATCAACTCAGCAAAACTTGATTTGTAATATATCTTATGATTTACTCAAAGTCCCGACATGTATTCAAACACATATGTCTACATCTATAAGATATAGACATCTACAATCTATAAAAACAATGTCAATTTCTTTGCTACTTAAATACAATCTTTGTTCAAAAGCAGATCCCCATGTGATTTCATACAGTATTATTAAATGAATGCTAATTAAAGATAAAGGTAGACCATCATTTTCAAATGACTAAAGAAACACAAGTGAAATAAACAATTTGAGAACATTTCAAAGCTAATCCAACAATTTTCAATAGTCCATCAATAATCATTAAATTTGTAGAATGCACCACATCCATTTGAATGGTAGGTTTTTGCTAAAACCTGGGACAGTTAATTTAAAAACATGTTGTTTACTGAAAGTGATAATTAAGTTTTCCCCAAGATTTATTCGTATATCATTCGATGCTCAAATATGTCCTAAGGACACAGATCAGTAACATATGGAAAATAGCTAGTTCATGAATAAAAATAACAAAAGAGAAGGTCTAAAATAAAAATGAGATGTGTATATTTAACGTATAGTAGGGGACAATGGCCAAATAGATGTTCTATAGGGAAGAATGAAGGGATATTCAGGATTCTTATGCTGCCTTTTCTTAATGTTGGTCATAAAACTGCTCCATAGTGTCAGCTGTTGAAAAACATAATACGTGGACTACAGAAGTATTTTCAATCAGATCAGTTGATATTTCCAAAGATATATGAGTAGTCAGTAAATATTACATGATCTCCTTATGAATCACATCATGGGTGTGCTATCCCATAAACAAATCCCAACCACCAAAACTATTTAGTCATCTTAGTTAACTTTTCACAAGATAGCTGTTATTTTATAAATTTTAAATAGTCTAAAATTTTTCTATTGCTGCTTTAATTCTATGCATAAGAATCTAATGTGGTATGTATTAGTGTTACTGATTAAGTTTCATATACCTGAAAACTACAGTAATATACTGCCATATGCGACATGAATACAAATATTGATCTATGAACTAATAAAATAATTTTCTTCTCTATCAAATAATGTTTATCCACCAAGAACTTCTAAATCCAAACTGAGTGTTTCTTAAGCAAATGCATCTTTCAATTGATATTTTACATTAAGGACAAGAAATATCTGAATTTAAACTATCATTAACACTCCTTTTGAAAGACATAAAAAGAAAAATGTTACATTTTAATCAAGTATTACTAAAAAGTAGTAAGCCTTTGCATAAGTAAGGTCCACATTATAGTGGTAAATCTAATTAAAAGATTTAATGTAGAATGTGAATTTCAATCTCAATAAAAAAAATCAGATACTTTCTATAAAGACAGCATCCACTTTGGAACCACTTTCGTGGTATCTGTTAACTTCCAAGTAGATACAAAGCAAGAATTCAAAGACAGCTACATAATAGATATCTGAAAATATTTCTGAGGTGATAAAGTGGTCAGTAATAAATAATTTTAAAGTGTACTTTACTGACACCATTTCTAAAATATATGAATTCTAAATGTACCTAATATATGCAATAAAAATATCTTCAAGCATAGTCATACATTTTTTTCTCCTATCTATGTAATCACCATTCCAGTATATCACATACTTTCTTATCTCCAAATGTTTTACCACTTTTAAATAATGTCAAGTTCCTGTTCTACTCTTTAAGTTACCATAAGGATATTCACTTGAAGTCTATTATCTATCTAACTATGAATTGAAGTCAACGCAAGGTGGTATTTCACAATATCTTCAAGTTCTTTTGAGATTTCTTTTCTAAGAAAATCTCACAAGGCATCCGTTGCATTTGTGTTACCAACTGTTAACATTAAAAAACATAGCCTATTCTTAAAAAAAGATTATTCATTTATGTAAATTATTCTTTGTTTATGCATATTGATGATCTCACTGGGTTTCAAGAGATGGGTTTCTTGGAAACTTAGACTTTTGGAACTGGAAAGGACATTAGAGATCATCTACTCCAACCCCTTCATTTTATGGTTGAGGACACTGAGCCCAGAAAAGATAGCTGACTGACGTTGGGCAAGTTTCCTACCGAGCAGTACAGCCAGAACCAGAAGCCAGGTCTCCTGACATTCTGTTAGGAGCCAGGTCTCCTGACGTCCTTTTAGGAGCCAGGTCTCCTGACTTTTATTCCAAGGATCCTTCCATTACACACACAGTGACTCTCTATTCTTTGAGGTTGTCTTGGGCTGCTCACACTCATCAAGCTGCTTTGTAAATGATGACATTCACCAAATAAAATGCCTTTGATGACAAGTCATGGGACCTTGGAACGTCCCGGTATAATCAGGCTATGCTCTAAATCATCACCATCTCCCCCTGTCTAGAACCTCATGGCTCCTAGCTGATCATACCATGTATTAAAAAGTTCCTTAACATGGTTTTCAAAGCAGTATACAATCTAGCACCTACAAGTGTCATGAAACTCTCCTCCTCTTGATCTGTGCTTTTGACACTAGACTTCATTCAGTTCTTCCAAGGGAGCAAGCTCCTTTCTATTTCAGCAGATGCCATTCCCTCTACCCAGGCTCTTCTCCCACGCTTCGTCTGGCTAGCCATTAATCACTCTTCAGTCCTCAGCTGAAGTACACCTAAGACCCCCTAGAGAAGATGTCCCCAAGCCCTGCAATCCTTTGCCCCACTACCACTTCCTCGTTTTTACACTCTTATTTCAACCTATATCTTTTAGTGTTTATAACAAGCCCAATTAATGAATTATTTATTCAATTACTTATTTAATGTTTCCTTTTCAACATCTCTAAGAACAGGCACTATGTCTACATTTAATCACCACTCTACCCTCCAGTATGTAGACTGTGTCAGGAATGCAAAAATACAATAGCTCATATTTACTACAACTAGCTGATTACGACGCAACAAATCTTATTCTAAATGTAATCATCTCATTCAAATTGCCAACAATCCTATGAGGATGGTACTAGTATTTTACTTATGTTATAAATGAAAAAACAGAGGCACAGTTCACTTAGACACTTGCCCCATATCACAGAGCTAGTAACTGACAGAATTGAGATTTGAATTCAAGCATTCTGATTCCAGTGTCTATATTTTTAAACTAATACATAATACTTCTGCACACTCAAATCTTTGTTCAATAAATAAATAAGCTTATCCACAAAGTCAAACTATGCGTATCACTAAACTATATAATTAAAATAGCAACAACACACATAGTGTTTACATTATGTCACGCACTTTCTAAGTAACGCACTTAATCACACTGCAACCCTACAAAGTAGGTTCTACTATTATTGCCACTTCGCAGATGAGAAAACTGAGGCACAGAGAGGTTAAGTAATTCGCCCAGTTATCATGTTGCTAGTAAGTCGCAGTTCTGGGGTTCAAACACAGACAGCCTACATCACGTCTGTTCTCTTATTATTCTATACTGCCATACTGATGCTAACCCATATCTAAAGACAGCTCAAAGTTACTAATAAATTACTGGTGTAACAATCATCAGTGAACCTCAGAAGGACAGAAAGGAAAGACACTTGCTTAGGTTACCTTGGCTCCCTCTACATGTTGGAGATAAAGGTTCCTTCTCTGCATGGATGAACTGCAAAAGGGGACAGCCCCTCCTTCCAGTGGCCACAGCCCCGCAGCGTGGCAAAGGGGCTCCCTGCAGTGGCTCTGCAGCTCTGCCCTCGCCCTTCGGCTCAGCACCCTCGTGAAAGGCATAGCGTGCAGCGTACTCACGTGCAGTGACTACACCCTAGCTAGACTACAGAGAATTGTCAAAATATTGTGCACACAGTGAGGAAAAGAAAACACCTTAAATCTAACAAAGACAAAACACAAAAAAGTAAAAACCCATGAAAAGTCCAGAGCCTTGGTGAGCAAAAGGAAAATCTTGCTAAAACATGCCAAAATCTTTCCAAACGTTGTTGAGACTTTAAGTGGACAGGGTGCTTCTCACTAAGCTCTTTAGAGTCCTCAGCTAGAAATAAAGAATAAAAACACTGACCTTGAATGTTTCTTTAAGTAATAAAATGATGTTGGTGAAGTTCCTTCTGCAAATGATAAAGTACCATATAAATTATATGTTTACTCGATATTCAAACCTATTATCTTATATATCGATAAGGGTCCTTCCCTCGGGCCATAAATCAATTTTATTCTCTGTGAAAAACTATTGGTGAAAATAGTGTTTCTATATACAATGATCCTTTAAAGGCACATGGTTCAAATTTTATCCTATGACTATGGCAGCATAATAGAAATTTAAAAAGAGGCAGCATTAGCATGAGGTAGCATTTTTCTCAGAGATGTTAACTTTTGGAAGAATACCTAAAAACAAAAGTGAAATGAAAAGAAAAATTTTAGTTCAGGTTGGGTGACTTCAGTCAGCTCATTTGGACAAAGGATAGCTATGTTTATTCTAGAGCCTGGGTATTCAGCAGTTTTAGAAGGTTTGCTATAAAAGTAGGGCAAAGCACTCTAGTTTTAGAAGTCAGATTTCACAGACTATGGCCTGTGCGCAATGTCCAAAGAATAGGTCGGATTTGTCAGTTGCATAAAAGAAAAGTAAAAAATAAATCAGATCAGCATATAGATGAAAGAAGCAATTTGACCACATATTTCCACATTTCAATGCATGATACTGGAATTACTAAGCACAGTTGATGGTGAGAGACATTGCGAAATTCATTTAAATTTTCCACATGCTTCAGGTTTCCCAGATGCAATACCCAAATAATGAAATCTTTCTTTCCAAGGTGCTATCACATGCTTAGGTGAAGGACACTATATGAGGAAGAAAAAAAAAAGCTGTTATCTTTGCTCACAAAATGAGATCTTATAACCTTACCTAATAGATTGGTTAACCACAAGGCCAGATCTTCTTTCATCGGCAGCAAATTAGCTTCATGTCTGCTGGCCAGCCATTGGCTGTACTGATGCATATCAGAGAGGCCAGGTCCACCGCGTACCTTTGGGCTCAGAGCAGTGCACATTATTTATCCACTTGTAATACCTGTTTTGGAAACAAAAGAGTAATTGCTTTTCATTCAGACTCTCTTATTAAAATCTTGGTGCCAATGACAAAGTAAGGAATCAGATCCATGGAAATTTTGATGACGGGTCAGGTTATTAATGATTAAACCCCAGGAAACACTGCTATCTTTACTCATCCTATCACTGTTAACCAGCCACTTGGTAGGAAATAGCAGCAATCAAAGGTCAAATAGAAAAATCAAACAGTAAGCGCTAAGCTTGCATAAAACATCACGTTTAGAAAGAGTCAGTTTCTAAAACAAGAAATTCTACTTATTCAAAAGCAAAGTTGTTGACTGAAATTTCAGTATCCAAATTGTAAACTCACATTGTTTGCATTAATTTTTGAAACTGTAGATTTCTACCGAACTGTAGGACTAAGTGCTAGCTGTGGCCGTATTTGCACAATTCATTATAAACATATGATCACTACCCTTAAAATTGCTTCCCATAGGATAAAGCAGAGTACTTGGTTCTTCATAGATGGCTAAGCAACCATGGATTCACAATTCAGAGAACTGGATGGGAGACAGGGTTGGAGGTGCTTTCAAAGAGTCCCTACTACATTTCTCTTATATTACAGTTAATGAAAACAAAAACCGGAGAGGATCAGTGACTTAATCAAGAATGTACAGCTAGATCACAGCACAGTCAGACTTGAACTTGGGTCTTCATACGTTCTCCAGAATGACACATTTTACAAAATAAGATTCCTCAAAAAGCCTGTAGTATAACCCCAAAAAAAAACAAAAAACAAAAAAAAAACACCAACATTCTAACAACTACTGCTACAAGTTTTTCTGTTGTCTTACTTTGTATCTTTTCATTTTATGGGTTTTTCATCCTAGGTTTTGTTTTCAATCATCTTTCTTGTAGAAGTGATTCCATATCTTACATCTACAGCCCTGGCTGGGTAGCTCAGTTGGTTGGAGCATCATCCCATATGCGGGCTCAATTCCTGGTCAGGGCATATACCTAGGTTGCCGGCTTGGGGGCACATGCAGGATGCAACAGATCTCTCTCTCCCCCTCCACCCCCCCACCCCCCCACAGCAAATCTTCAGGTTCAGATTTAAACAAACCATATCTTATATCTACAAAATAAAAGTCGATTTCATTACCCTGATCACCTTATGGGTATCATGGTCCTCTTGTAGAAAAGTTATTTGAATAAATACCTGGCCTTGAATATAACACTTTTGGATGTATTATCTATAGGACCTAAGACTACAGAAGTAACATTGGAGCAGCTAAAGTAACAAAGTCATAAGTTTAACAATGTGTAGGACTCTATAATGTATACCAATAGTGCATATGAAATAACTAAATGCATTTTATTATACTGAAGAAAAATGAAAATACAACTGGCAAGAAGATTTATATGATATAATGGGGTTTTCAGCTGTATTTCAATAATTACAGTATCTTTAAGTTATCAATATAAGTGTATATACACTCTTGTCAGTTCTATTTCTTGAAATTTTACTAAGTCTAATTCTCTTAGCATAGGATAATTTTTGTCTTTTAAAGACTGCTTTTAAAACATAAAAAGATATTGGTGTTCAGAAAAATGCAAAACGTGACCATCTCCCATTCTGCTGTAGGATTAGAAAAGACAGCTAGAGCGTAAACACCTAAAAGATGTCATAAATATATAACTTAAAAGCACAACTAATTGCATTTCTCAACAACTATGCTGTGGAGTAATTTTTTTGCAAAAAAAATTACCACAAATTTTCTTTGAAAATACTTTTTATAAATCTCTCAATATATAATTATTCATAGTGAACCAGTGCAAACATCTGTAATACATCTTATCATATGTTACTAAATTATCATTATAGGAACCAGAACATTACCATCGCCTATTCTTTTGTAGTTAATCCTCACATCATTCAGACAAAGTCCTAAAATTTTCTCGAAATCTTGTTGTTAAATATCAGACACCTAAAACATTTTTGCCCCAGTTCTTTTAAAAGTAGGTCTAGTCACAGGAAAACAAAACATCTCCTTGTAACTGGTTAGGATTCCTATAAGCTAGCTAGCCTCAGAAACAAACACTTAAGTAATATTACATTTAAGCACATGATTCATACATTTAAATAACTAATTGAAATCTTAAAAGGGTTACCTCTAAAATGCCTTTCTTCTCAAGACACAATCTCTCCCACTACTTTCCTGAAAGTGAGATGTGGTAGGTCAGTAACTTTAGCTACATCCTATTATGTGTTCTGCAACTTCCATTTAAGCATCAGAGTCCTATTCTACTCTGTAAAAGCAGAAAGACACCTCAGATTCTTAAGCTCATTGTCCAGCAAAGAATTCATCAAGGGATAGTTTACAGTAAGCCTAATGGCATGTAACAGTGTCAATGCGCCAGAGGGACACAATCCTTCCCCTCAGTACCTCTAAACAGTGAAGTTTTTATTTTCTTGACAGTGGCACATTTATTTCTCATGTAGTCTGTCCTGTATTTTGCCAGAAATGTAATTCAAACTATCTTCTAATATTTATAGATGATCATTAAGTAAAAACAGTAAAAATAATTAAGCAATTTTTGTTATGCTGCCTTGTATATAATCAAAGTTATATACAAAGGAGAAAAAGCAAGAACAGAGTTATATTTTACCAGGTGGTAAAGGTGGGAGAAATAAGGTTTAAGGGGTAATTTGCATAAAATAGAAGATAAGCAATTAAATATATACCAAAATACATTGACACTTAAAGTTGCTGTCATGGATAGGAACTCCTCTGTTTAAGTTCCTTCTGAAAAAACTTTGGATTTTGATCTACATTGGTCCTTTATTGTTTTAAATCACCATCTTTGGTTTAGCTGAAAGTCAGTCACTCTTTGGAGGTCTTGGATTTAGATAATGGCAGAGACATGAATAAGAAACATAGAAATGAACCCAGTTAGCAGGAGTGTGGAAGAATTACTCCATGGTGAAGTAACTTCCCATGGAAATAGTTAAACTGGGGTGAGCAGAAGTCAAACAAATTTGTATTATCAAGATAAAAAGATCACTATAGGATGACAACCATTTTATAATTTTTAACAAATGTTTAATCAATATGGATGAGTTGAATTAAACCACAAAGAACTATAACCAAAAGGTCATTTTTGATCTTTTGAATTCATTCAAAAGTTTTCAAAAACTACAAGAGATGACAAGGGGTAGCTTTTAAACATGGGAAGTAAAATGATAATGATTCACTACACTTGAAGAAAGAAGTTAAAATTTGGGAGAACAAAAAACTTTTTTTTAATACATTGCATCAAAACACTGAAAGATGTTACCATTAAAATTCATACAACCTAAGGATTTACAAAGCTTTATAAGTGACTTTGGTAAGTAATAAACAAAGACCATCACTTTAGAAAGAGGACTAGGAATCCAAATGCTTCTCTGAGTCTTCCAAACCATGGCTTCTCCAAGGTTTATTGGTCTATCTAAAAATGGCTAACTCAGCCCCCAGGATTTGGAATTCAGAAAAATAAAACTTAAAGCAAAAAACATGCAGAAACTTAATACAGATTTCTTCAAAGAATGTGCATATTTTTTTTCCTTTCTTTCCATAGAAGTGATTCTGGAATAACCATTATGAATATGATGAGACATGAATTAGCCCAAGGGAAGAAGAAAAAATTAATGACTCCGTAAGTAAAATATCATATGCTTAAAGACTCTGTTTAGTCTGTTGCTCCAGAATCCCAGTTGAAGATCTCATAGTTTTGTCTCTGAAAATAAAGTATTCTTTCACACCACCTAGAGGTGTGCTTTGATTATGACCAAGATGGTTTCTGGCCTATCTCTAGACTTTGTTGACATTATAAAAAAAATGCATTGCAATATTGCATAGAAAATAAATGGAAAGTAAGAAAAATAAGAATAAAATAATAAACATTATATGATTACTAGCTGCTATGAAATTCCATTAAAAAGCCTGATTAATGAATATTAATTGGAATCTCAGAATTGGAATCAGAAGTCCTATGGTCAAATACTAACTCTATTACCTACGTACTTAGTATCTGTTATATTCCAAATTGTACAACTTTTTCTTTTTGTACCTGAGTTTTTTAGTATGTGCAATGGAGGCTAACACTTCGAATATAATTTTGAAGATTAAATATTTGTGTCAGTGTTGGCATACATTTTATATTCATTAAATACTAGCTAAATTTAAATTATCACCACAGAAATGTGCCTTCCATTGACTTGTTTTAAAAAGAAAAGCAATTCTATAACAAAATAGGAATATTTTGTAGCCCTCTAAATCACTAAGAGAAGGCAAAGGCTAAAGAAGAGAGATGAAAACAAAGTATTGATGAAATAAAATCATAAATATTAGAAAAACTCAAAGTTGCCTTCATAGGATGATGAATGAAATGTTTTTGCTCTAAAATGAGTTTACATGTATTTTTTAAAAACAACTTTTGTTAACAAATTTTGTGCTTGGTTTTTGACACCAGATAAAGATCATAAGCCATTAAGATAGGGGAGTGCTACACCTCTCAAAATAAATGTGACAGGATGTCACTACACATCTTCCCCACCCATCCCCCACCCCCAGACAGATTCCTTAACTGGGACCATTTAAAACAAAGAGTACTAATGAACCTACAATGAAGGGTCCCGCAACTAAAAGCCACCTTTGTTTGCTTCTGCACATTGACCTCACCTCTACCTGGTCAGTTTTGTGTGTTCTGGGTGTGAAGCAATGAACGAACAAAGTTATAGGCCATAACACTATCTTTTAAAAATTTAAAAAAAAAAAACACCCTAAGCCAAACACTCTCCCAAAATCTTTAAGAAAATGGTATGTATCTTTTAAGCTAGACTCAACAAATTAATAACCAAGGATGGCTCTTTCACCATTCTTAGTTCTTTACTCCTACGTGATTCATTTTGGTTAACCAATAAGATCTCTACAGTGTTACATATTCTTAACCAATGTGATGAATGCAAAATCTTAACCTAAGGATCTAATTAGAAAATTAAAGTTCAAAATTTAGTCATAAAAGCAATTCTAGATCTTGTAAATAGACCTCTACTTCTGGCTAAGACGAGCAACTTGTCCACAAATTAAAGAACCACCAAGTATCAAGTCAAAAACAACACACATTACTAGTTTTCCTAACTATGTAATAAAATCTTTACATTCAAATGGACAGAAGATTTACTTAGTCAAATTCCTGGTTCTTCATAAATCATTGGAGGGCTCAAATATTTTGCCCAAAGTAACAAGGCTACATAGCCACAGAGTCATTACAAATATCCTACTCAGCCCTCTTCGTGCCCAGTATCAGGTAATGCTAACTCTCTTCCAAGAATCTTTCTTATCCTGGAGCCCCATGATGATTTGTCTTGAGTCAAATAATGATATAACTATAATAGTAATTCCTTCTTAAGTCATGACCCAAAAATTAAGAGTGGGAACTGATTTCTTATATTTTTATGGCATTAGCAATTTTTTTTCTTTCAATTTAGTGCAGGTTTTTGGACCCCTCCCATATTAACTTGAAACATAATTTGAATAGAAAACCTCCTGAAAATCATAAATCAATTAGAACTTTTAAGGACTTCCATCAAAATTTCATCTAGGCTGATTAGGTAAAACTTGGTGAGATTTTGTGGGAGGGTTTTATATGTTGTTTGTAATGCAATGATTTTTCTGTTTTAACTGTAATGTACCTGAGAGCTATAGGATTTCTACTTCCTATATCATGTAAGGGAAGAGCAAAAACTCAACTGAAGTGACCCTGAAATTGTTTAAGACAAAAATTACACAAGTGTTTTACTCATTTTGACAAGCGATATGTTCTACCTTCACTCCAGTTATATTCTCTAGCCAAAAAACACTGAGTAGAAAATCTTGATAGTTGCTCAAAAGAAAAAAAAGAAACACAGTGGTATCCTATTTGTGCCTCCATATCAAAACCACAGAGATACCAAAATAGCCTTAATATCTGCTGCAATTTTAACAAATTTAACAAAGTCCCTCTGTAAACACATTGTTGGAGCCTCCTTTTCTGGTTTCAACCAAGGTTAACTTTGGCCTTCCAAAGGCTCCAAGTATCAATAATGCAGACCTGGCAGCCTTGAAGCAAAATTCTGAAGTCAGCCATCACATATTTAGGATTAATATAAGACCTGACATTTCATCATCCCTGCAAGTTTAACTAAGATTCCTTAGCAAGACAGTAGAAAACTCAGTGGCAACCAGATGACCTTTCGCACCAGGTGAAATAAATTTTGCCATGTGAATTTATTTCCCAATAAAGCAGAGACCACATCACAAAAGTATGGTGTTTCACCATAAAGTACAGAAAGAAACTCCAAGTTTAGAGGCATACAGACTGAAATTCAAGCTACCTTTCAGCTTCAAGCCCAGAGAGTCATGTGTTAAGGCTACAACGTCCCATGCCTCAGACATCTGTCCCTTACCTTCTCTTAAGCAGTCAGAACCAGGACGCCCATGTTGAAGAGGACCACCACAGCCACCACCTCCCCCTACACAGTTAGGGGGGAGCATTCCTCGAGAAGGAGCTCATTGATCGATTTCAAAGACAGGCTGGGCACACTAGATCCCAGCTGTAGTTAATCAGTGTCCACACTGCTAAGAGGTTGGGGGAAAGAAGCAAAGAGCACAAGGGCTCCTTCTCAGCCTTGCCTCTGTGAATCTCAGGGGATAGGTGGGGAGGAAAGGTGGACTTCCCCTGTCTGGCTGGTACATCCGACCTGCCTGAGCATTTATTTTAACACTAGGAGGCCAAATGGGTGTTCCTGTGCACAAGCGGATCTTATTTCCTCTGCATAAGATCTCCCATACACAATTGATCTAGCTTTGTTGGAGAGGGTTCCTGGGGAGAAGGCGGAGTTTACAACAGGGACAGAAAAGTTTTGCAAATCTTGACTATGAGAGAATGAAGATGAACGAGGTGAAAGGAGGATAATGAAGAAGGTGGGGAGGGCAATTATTTTAATTTCCAAAAAGGTTAACTGGAGGAAAGTACTGAGTAACCCACCCCCACCTCCAACTGTACAAGAATGTTGAAAGCAATTAAGCCGTGCTTTTGCCCCGTCTCCCTTCAAGACAGTAAAACCTGGGATGGCTGGACTAGGTTAATGGCAATTCCCTTTACTGGGCTGATAAAACTTAATTTTGCCAAAATAATTAATTCCTTTAAAACAAAGTTGGCTCCTCTGCTCCCCAAACAATTTCAGATTCCAAAACCTTGCTCTTTGGACTGAAAACGAACAATACTACGCAAAAATATTCCCAATGTCGGGGGGGGGGGGGGCGGTGATTCACAGGCTAGCATTTGTTCACGTAAGAAAAACTCAACTCTGTCAAACTCATCAATCGAAAAGCAGAGTATCACCCCAAATCATTCGAGCCACCATTCTCCCTCCCACCCCGGCCTCCTGATTCAAGTAAAACATTCAGATCAATCCAATAAGATCATCCCCATCTGCTCCCCTCTCCCCAATAACAGCATGCATTACAAGGACCCTTGTGCACGAATGCGTAAGTGTGCATTTATAATCGATGTGCTAATTAGAAAGCCTCACTTCAGTCCCTGGTTGGCTGAGCCGCCCCAGCGGGCTTTTCGCGCGGCGGTCACTTGGGCTGTTCCACAATAGGGATGAGGAACACATGGTTGTGTCCAGTGCATCAGAGAGGAACCCACTGCAGTGATCACCGCCCCCGCCCCCCTTCCCGGCGCCACAGCCGGCCCAGCAGTCCGTGGCTCTTCACCCTGCCCATCCCAGGTCCCCTGGTTGTTTTTAAAGACCTCCCGCGGCCCCGCCGCCCCCGCTGCCCACGCAGACAGGGGCGCCCGCGACCCCGCGCCGCAGTGCGCGCACGCTGCGGCGGCGTTGGCGGAGAGCTGCGACCGCGCGGCCGCCGTGCTCACCCCCGCGTCCGGAGCTGGCTGCTGGCGGCTCTCAGCGGCGCCGGGGCTCCCGGCTCGGCTCCTGCAGCGTCTCGGGCCAGGCCCCCTCCCGGAGCAGGTCCTGCAGCAGCCGCTCTCCGCACCCCACCAGCCCGGCGGCAGAGGCAGCAGCTATAGCCGCACTGCCCCTCTTCATACTTCTCTGATGGCTCCTCTTGGTGCTGTTTGGGAAAACGATTTTTCCCCCTGCCAGAAACAGATTTCCTACATTTCATCAGTCCACATAGACCGAGCGGAAGTAAAATGCTTACTTTTTCTGGTGGACGGCAAACGCAATTGACACTGATTTACCCTTCAAACGGGGAGAGATTGTATTACAAGCCCTTGGCAGCAATTCCGAGGTTAGGGCCAAGCTCCAGCCCCCTCCTTGACCCCCAAACACTAACCTAAGAGGGAAAAGGCCGGGGGTGGGGAGGGGATCATATTTAACTCCAGGGTTTTAACAGAGTCAATGGCTTTAGCACAATATTAAAATGGGGTGTTGGAAAAGTTTTGCTTTCCTGGCCAGTGATTTTGCACACTCAGAAGCATGAGCTTTCCAGTAACTTCGGCCACTTTTCGTTCCAAATTGAACAACTTGATTTCTTACACTTCTCCTTAAATATCATATTTTAGAAGAGGCTACACTTAGGGCTGTTTTCGCTTTACAAAAGGAAACACAATTCCACCCTTCCTTCTCTCAGCCTCAGCTCAGCATTATGTTGAATGTCACAGACAATTTTCTCCAACTGTTGTTTATTAGTACTTGTAGTCTGAGATGAAACGTCTTGCCAGGAACTGGACAGATGTTCCAAGTCTCTGCTTCACCGCTAATATATAGGTGACCTCGTGCTGATTGTCCTAATCCCTTCAGGTCACCGCTTTCCATGGGGTGTAGACTGGAAATACTACACTTGGTAGTTGTTTGCTTTCATGGTCATCAGTTTCACGTTCATCTCCATCCCATGCCTCCGATGGCGGTGGCGCAGGTATTCTGATCCTCCCATGGATACGGTTTTTTTAAGTTGTGATTAACTACTCCCACTCCATCCTCCCCCCACCCCACCCCCAAGAAGAAACTACCTATAGATCGACAATAGCGAAATGATGTGTATAATTTTAGATATAATTAAAGAATGCGTGTTACCTTCACTGCCGCTTTCATCTGGAAGTGGTTATTTGCTCCAAACATCTAGACATTGCACGGGGTATTTGCTTGTAGCAACATGAAAATGAAGAAGGGGACAGGACAGAGTGAAAAGTTTGGCAGCACTGACCCTCAAGTTTTTTATGCTCATTCAGTTGGGTGTTGCAGCTGTCAAGGGTGTATTCCTCCTTGGCTCCCCAGAAGAAGAAGAAAGAAAAGAAGCCACCTCATTTTAAGGAGAAACAGCATTAATAAAAGGCCTACATTACTGGTTTAATATATATAAATATCAGCGAATCATACAGAACAGATTATTCATGAATTTGAGGAAACGATTCTGAATAATAAAAACCATCAAAAAGTAACCATATCTGAGTATTCCTAGAGCCCTAACAAAATATTTTGAGTTTCTGAACTTGTATAATTTGAGTAAAAAGTCAAAGATTCTTGATAATTTTTCATGATCCAGCATCATCAGCCAATGACCAATAATTTAAGTATCTTCAGTGGAGAGAGTTCAAAACATCTAACACCTTTAATTTTGAAAACCTTCTATTTTTCTCCAGATGTAAATATTCTTGTTACATTGTTCCATATTGATGTTACAAAAAGTAAAGTGTAAAGTAATGTTTTTGTTGGTTCAGGAATAATGTAAAATCCATTTTGGGAAAATGAGGAGGCTTACACAGGCCCTGGGAAAGCATCATCGTTCAAATTACTCGCTCCAATGCCCCTTCCTTCCAGGAAGTTTTAGTTATGAATTATGCATCAGATTCTGTCTTTTTAGAAGAGGCAAAAAGGGAAATGCTAGGAGAAATATGCACTTTTCTCCCTTAACATCTGAGAGTTGTGCTGAATATCTTTTGGTAACAAAGGAGAAGTAATACAAAAGATTTCTGAAGAGGCATCAAAATATTGTTTTTATTTAATTTTTTCAGAATTTGTAACAATGCCCATTTGATTTTTATTTTGTATTGTTCAAAATCAAATTTCTATTTATGTACTCCAATCAGTCACTAATATATTTGTTCGATAATCTTTTTGTCCAAGAATGTTCTTACTCTGGTCTCTCTCAACCTAAACACGTTAATCTTAGGGAATCATGGTCCAACCTACCTTTTCTGGACCAATATGAAGGTAATGGAAGCAAATGCCTCACCTACTGAGATGAAAAATGTCAAAATACATTCTTGAAACTTGACAGCATATAAAAGAGAAGCCAAACCAGATTTAAAGAAAATATAGTTTAGTTTTTTCTTTTTATCACTTAAATATTAAAGTTTAAAGGAATTTAATATTGAAAGTTTCAAAGTTACTCTGTGTTTGGGGCATTCTACACCTTCAACATTGTCTCAAATATAAACTGCGCCTTTTCTTTCAAAAATATACATATCTTCTTATATTCTTATATTCCTAAGCAGCTTCAAAAGGGCTATTAATTATGGCACGTGATAGCCTTAGAAGTGAAAATTACAATAAGGAAAGCAGTATAAAAACCTGCCCTGGTGCCAGATAAATATATGAAGCAATGTTATAAGTGAAAACACTTATTTGCTTTTTATTGAAATACTTTGTCAGTGATATAAAATATGTTTATCTTCTATCTACCTTATTGGATCATAATATAGGCCTTGAACTGATATATATTGAAATATTTTAAAATGCCAAACAAAAGGGATTTTATAGGTCCTAGTATGGTAATTATGCATACTGTTAGGGGTAAAAAGTAAATGTTAATACTTTTCATCACCATTCATATATAACACTACAAAGAATAAATTAAATGAGAGAGATTTCATGTGAAAGTTCAAGGTTTACTCTCATTTTGATATGCAACTTAAAAACTCTATTTTTATTCTCAAAGGAAAACTTTAAAATTTATAAGTACAATACAACACTAGTATAGGTATCCGTTCCCTACTGTGTAAGACTCATATATTTTGCAAAATGTATGTTATATATGAGCATATGTCTTCTAATTTTTACACAGAGGAGAGATTACAAGCATTTCACGAAATACGCCATTTATCTCATCTAGTTTTAAATATCCTATGTAATATATCCTATTGTGTGAATTTTGGTTTTCATTAAATATTTTTGTGATTTGTTTCTAAATATTTTATAAATATCTCTGCCATTCTAATTGGAAAAAGGTCAAATTTAATATGAATGTCCTATATAAAATATTTTTATTTCAATAACCCTGTCTTTCTTTTGAACCACTGTTATCTCTAGCATCTGGAATACCATTGGACTTCTGGTAGGCACTCACTCAATAAATAATTGTTGAATGAATGATTATTAGAAAAATGCAGTCCCTTGGGAAGCTTCCTACTAATTGGTTATATTTCTTATATATTGTCTTTAATTTTGTAGTTTGGAACCCAGAATAGAAAAATAATGTTAAAATAACATTATAAATGATGGCTTAACTCCCAGGCTAGAATCATTTCATCTGGTAAAATGTAACTAGAGTTCAGTTAAACAGATGCTTGCCTATGTACCAGGCTTATAAATGAGGTCAGTCTGTGTCATTTGTCACTTCATTAAAAACCAAAGTTGATTTGGACTCAAGGTTTAATCATAACCAATATAATAGGAGTGCAGTGAAGAGCTCTAGAAAATATTATTAGTTCAGTGGTTTTCAAACTTTTTTTATTGTGACCCACAATATGCAATACCTTAAGGAAGATACACATGGAAACACATTCAGATACACAAGCAAAACATGTCTCAGAAAATAGTATTTACCTTCTGAAGTTCATGCACTCTGATATTTTTGTATTTGGCTTTCTTCTAGCCTTTTCTATGCCATTCAATTAAAAGAAATGCTGTTGGAGAACTGCTAAATTTATTTCAAACCCACAGTTTGAAAAAATCTGACTCTGAAAGTAAACTAAGAAGAAAATCAGTAAAAAAAATGAGGTAGGGTATCAATGAACAGATGGTTTCACTATAAAGTACAAAACAGATGCGCATATATGTTGTCTGCAGTAGACTTGACATGATGTAATATCACAACATCCCAAACATTGTATACCCTCACACCTCCCTGTCTTTGCTCATGCCGACTAGAACACTCTCTTACCTTTAACTTTCTCCTTCTGAATAAGTCAGATTCATTCTTCTAGCAATAGTTCAATAGTTATCTTCTCTGTAGTTCTCTTGATCTCCCTGGCAGAAATATGGCTCTGTCTCTTTTGCTCTGAGAATTTTCATTTATTTTATATCTCATTTATAATGTAGTATCACAGTTATTTTCTTATACATACACCTTCCTACTAAAACTGTGAGTCCTTAGAGTAGAAGGACTAAGTTACCCATCTTTCATATCAAGTCCTCAGTACAGTCCCAAACCTCAGGTCATTGAATGACTGAATAAGTAAATGAACCATACAACCACTGAATAACTAAAAGAGAAAAAGCAGGTATCACTGGGTGATGGGACAGATGCCTGAAGGAAGGAAGGACTGTGCCCATCAAAGGGGAACTGAATGGTAACCCCTCTGTAAGGACAGTGCCAGTTGATGATTTTGCACCCTTATTGAAAGAACAATTTACACTTAAATGAGATTTTACTGTCACATTTCTTAGGACTCTCTTGCAGGTAGACCTTGTTTCCACCATCCATTTATTTTTAAGAGCACCGATAATGACAAATTTAGGATTATTTTGTTGAAGGATGGAAAAACTTGCTGAAATTTCCATAATTGAAACTGTCACATATTTCATAAACACAGAATCTCTGACAACTGCTGATTTACACAAAGCATTTTGAGAAATAACTAAAATTCGTATTGTGGAAGGGTTCTTCTAGCAGCTAATTCTAGACCAGGTTGTGAGAGAGCACATCCAAAGTGACCGAATTGCACAGGAAAGGGTCAGAGTTAGTGGGGCTCCTCTCGGTGGAAGGAAATGCCATCACGCCGCTGGTACAATAGCCGCTTGGACTCCAGAGTCCTTTACCAAAAGGTTTCACCAGCCATTATCTCCACCAAAACTGTCAAGAAATAGACATATGAAATTGTAATAATAATAGTCACTGCAGTTAGCTTAATAATTAAAAGTCCAGATTTGGAAACAGACAAAAATCAG